ACCACCACCTACAGGAAAAGAATTTTCTAAAGGGTTCTTTCAGAAGAAGGACAATGAATCTAGAAAAAAGTTTGGAGGACAGATAAGCAAAGGAAATGATAAACGTGTAGTAATTCTAATACATATTTACTTGGCAAAATGATGATGAAAATAATCATGTTTAATTTGTGGAGGTTTAAGCTAAAAATTCAAGAAATGACATACTCATGCAAATTAGGAGAGGAGCAAAAAGAGTTAGTGTCCTAAGGTCTTGTCTGTCAGCGGGAGGCTTAAGATGCTCTTTGTAGGCTTTGTTAAATACGCAAGGTAAAATTTTATGACTACCCATAAAGAATGGAAATAGTGTTTAATTTCCACAGCAGGTAAAGGGCAAAATCATGTAGGGGAAACGAACACAAGAGGCTTCTTTTCATCAAATAACAAATAAAATCAATTAGCTTAGTCATTATGAAAGTTCTTCAGGTATTAAAACTGGATTGGGGGTACAGGGCAGGCAATTCCACAGTAATAAGTAAAACTGGGCAGAAGGAAAAGGGGTGGAGGGAGATTGTTGGTGGCATTGGTGGTGGCAGATGCTGCAGGGACTGCGTGAGCCCAGGGTAACCTTTGCTCACGCTTCAGGCCGAGGCCAGGGCCGGGCCGGCTGATGCTGGTGCATTACTGAGAGGCGCTCACACTTCTGTCTGTCCAGCTGGACATGCACCCCGCCTTTCACAGGAAGCCTCCCTCCTGGCCCCAGTCTTGGCCAGAGCAGTTTAAGGGGAGCAGGCAGACAGAAACGGAGGCAAGAAGGCAACAGGACACCCCCCGAGGCAGCGCCTAGGACGGCCACCACCCTGCCACACTCTCCTTCCCCAGGGAAGGAGGCTGAGGCAAGAGGCAGAGGGAACAGACCCTGGCGCGGACCTCTGAGGAGAGACCCAGCCAGAAAGAGCTGGAGAGCAGAGGGAAACACTAGATAACATGGGCCCTGGCAACATGGGAAAACGTGCCCGAACACAAGCTCTTCTCTAGTTAATCACTACCTCCTTTCCTTCCCGTACAAGACATCACAGCATCCTGACCTACACCACCTTGGACCCCACACATATTGTTCACCTACTAAGAAGTTTGGGATTAACAGAGGCAAACCACTATAAATAGAATGGATATTTTATAAAAATTTAAAAAAAATCCTACTGGGAACTATACTCAATATCCTATAATAAACCATAATGGAAAAGAATAGGAAAAAGAATGTGTATAACTGAATCATTTTTCTCTACAGCAGAAGTTAACACAACATTGTAAATCAACTATACATCAGTAAAATAATTTTTTAAAAAACTTCATCAGACATGGTGACATGTTTATAGGAATAAACCATATGTAAAAATGCATCTGAGTGATAATAGTTAATACTTACGCCCTCATTACTCAAAACCAGGAACTATTCTCAGTGCTTGACATATAAGATCATATTTAATCGTCATGTGCCTAAGATCACATAGCAAACAAGAGGCAGAGCCGGGATTCAAATATAGACACTCATTCCAAAGTCTTCACTTTCAAATACATGCTCCCTCTGAGTGGCTATTGTTCAGTCGCTAAGCCGTGTCTGACGCTCAGTCGTGTCCCATTCTTTGCGACCCCATGGACTGCAGCACACCAGGCTTCCCTGTTCTCCACCATCTCCCAGAGTTTGCTCAAACTCATGTCCATTGAGTTGGTGATGCCCCCAACCATCTCATCCTGTGTTGTCCCCTTCTCCTCCTGCCTTCAATCTATCCCAGCATCAGGGTCTTTTCCAATGAGTCAGCTCTTCGCATCAGCTGGCCAAAGTATTGGAGCTTCAGCTTCAGCATCGGTCCCTTCAACAAACATGCAGGGGCGATTTTCTTTTAGTATTGGCTGGTCGGATCTCCTTGCAGTCCAAGGGACTCTCAAGAGTCTTCTCCAGCACCAGAGTTCAAAAGCAACAATTCTTCAGTGCTCAGCATTCTTTATGGTCCAACTCTCACATCTTGTACATGACTACTGGAAAAACCATAGCTTTGGCTATCCAGACCTTTGTCGGCAAAGTGGTGTCTCTGCTCTTTAATATGCTGTCTAGGATTTTCATAGCTTTCCTTCAAAGGAGGAAGTGTCTTTTAATTTCACGGCTGCAATCACCATCCTCAGGGATTTTGGAGCCCAAGAAAATAAAACTTGCCACTTGGTGGATATTTCCCTAGAGAAGATAGAATTCCAATTTAGTCCTACGGATGGAAGCCTTGTATACCTCACCCCCTTCTTCCGTAATTCATATGTTAAAGCCTTGGTCCCCCGTATGATGGTATTTTAAGATGGGGCCTTTGGGGAGGTAATGAAGTCAGGAGGGTTTAGCCACATGAATGGGACTGGTGCTCCTGTAAGAAGAGACACATGGGAAAGATGATCTCTCTTTATGCTGCATGAAGGCAGTGCAAGAAAACAGCCATCTGCAAACCAGGATGAAGGCCCCCCAAAGAACTCACACATGCTGGCACCCTGATCTCAAACTTCCAGCCTCCATAACTTGGAGAAGTGTTTCTTGTTTAAGCCACCAAGTCTATGGTGCTTGTTATATCAGCCCAGTCTGATTAAGACAGTTGGGAGATGACGGGTTACTCTCAGATATTTGAAGAGCTATTTATGGAAGAAGGGTTTAACTTATTCGGTATGGACCAAGGAGATTCGAAATAAGTTCAAGACTATTTTCATCCTACTTTGTAACAGAGGTTGCCAAAGAAGAAATTGGCTTTCTCAGAGGGTGCTGAGTTCTCCATCACTAGAGGCTGAATGCACCCAGGGTTAATAACATTGGAGAGGATTTCAGCACTGAGTGCTGGGTGAATAAGACTCCATAAAATCCCTCCAACGCTTGAGAGTCTGTAGGATTATCAGGGTCAGGACAGGACTAAGAACTCAAATCCGAAAAAGTAGATGTTGATACCTCTTCACTTTTACAGTTACATTTTCCACTTAGTTTGTTCCTGGGCATTTTGGAGCCAGAATTGGCATTTTAAGACTCAACACACCTGGATACCCTTCCTTCAGCAGTCAGCTTGAGAATCCCCTCCTCCAGGACGTGTTCCCCACCCCATCCCTAATACAGCTTAAGTTTCCACCTCACCCCATCTTACTCCTACAGTGCCCCTTCTCACACTGCAGTGAATTCTGCTTCATCATCAATCACGCCCTGTATTAGGGCATGCCTAAGGCTCAGTAACAAATTACTGCAAACTAAGCAACTTAAAAAAAAATTTATTTTCTTACAGATCTGGAGGCTAGAAATCGAAAATTGAGTTGTCAGGAGGGCCAGTTCCTCTGAAGTCTTTAGGGGTACACCCTTCTTTGCCCCTTTCTAGCTTCTGGCATAGGTGCTTGGGTGCCTAGTTGCTTCAGCCGTGTCCAACTCTTTGAGACCCCATGGACTGTAGCCTGCCAGACTCCTCTGTCCATGGAATTCTCCAGCCAAGAATACTGGAGTGGGTTTTCAGGCCCTCCTCCAAGGGATCTTCCCAACCCCGGGATCAAACCCTCGCCTCCTGGATCTCCTGCATTACAGGCAGATTCTTTACTGCTGAGCCACTGGGGAAGCGCCCCCTTCCCCAGCATCTGAAGGTTGTTGGCAAAACTTAGTGGTCCTTAGCTTGAAGCTGTAGCTCTCAAATTTCTGCCTTTTTCTTCAGACTGCCTTCTCCCCTCTGCATCTGTGTTTGTCTTCGCTCTTCTTATAAGGACACCAGTCATATTAGATTTAGGGCCCACAAGCCTTCAGAGTAAATTCGTTTTAAATTAATTAGTTACTACTTCAAAGATCCTGTTTCCAAATAAGTTCACATTCACAGGTACTGGTAATTATGACTTCAGTATCTTTCCAGGAGACATAATTCAGCTGACAACATCCTCAACCTCTTATGCTCATTAAACTGCTATTTTTATTCCACATGTTTTTATTGTGTCTACTTTGAATCACTCCCTATTCTGGATGCAGAGAACAAGTCACAGTCAAGGTTTCTACCCTTAGTGAAACGTCCATTCTACAGGGAGGCAGCCAGTTTAAAAGGGGGCCATTCAGCGGTAAAACCGAATACAACCTCATTTGTGTATGTATGTACCTATATAAACGTGTGTGTCATATGCATGCTAAGTTGCTTCAGTCGTCTTTGCAACCCTATGGGCTGACTGTAGCCCGCCAGGCTCCTCTGTCCATGGGATTCTCCAGGCAAGAATACTGGAGTAAGTGGGTTGCCCTGCCCTTCTCCAGGGGATCTTCTCAACCCAGGGATGAAACCTGCATCTCCCATGTCTTTCACATTGGCAGGCGGGTTCTTTACCACTAGCACCACCTGGGAAGTCCATAGCCCATTTATATAAATCACTGATACATATTGTGGAAGGATATGTGGAAGGATATTGCGGCTCAGCTGGTAAAGAACACCTGCAATGCGGGAGACCTGGGTTCGATCCCTGGGTTGGGAAGATCCCCTGGAGAAGGGAAAGGCTACCCACTCCAGTATCCTGGCCTGGAGAATTCCATAAACTGTATAGTCCATGGGGTTGCAAACAGCTGGACATGACTAAGCAACTTTCACTTTCATTAATGCAAACAGTAGAGGGAAAAAAAAAGGATAAATGATTTCCTTTCACGTAGTCTATGTTTTTTGGCATGTTTACCAGAATCTAAAACTTTGATTTCTTTCTGTCCCTTGTAGAAGTTCATTTTCTGGTACTTGTATTCAACTTGTTGTCAACTCTCAGTTTCTGAGCAGTAGAAAATAAAACTTGTGAAATGTATTCTTAAGTTCAAACTTGCAACTAAAGACAACCTGTAGGGGCGGGGTGGGGAGGGAGGAGGGAAGAGGGAGGGGACACAAGTATGCCTACGGCCGATTCATTTTCATATATGGCAAAAACCATCACAATATTGTAAAGCAATTATCCGCCAATTAAAATTCTTTTAAAGAATAAAACATGCATGCCCCTCTTTCTTCCAGGGCAGTGTCGGTTCCACTCAGTCTCCATTTGGCCCGGTGCCAGGTAAGTATTGCAGTTCAAGGGGGTCGATTCCTTCCCTTTGAAGTAAATCAGGCATTTAGGCTTCCATTCTTCCATAGATGCCTTACAAGACTTTGAACATTTTGGTGCTTTGACATACTTATTTTTAAAATGTAAAATCAGACCTCATGGCAGCCGTTCCTGAATTTGGAATGAGTTCTGTCCAGTATAAGCTTATTGGGCAAAAGCAATAGCAATTAGGCCCTTCATCCAGCTTTTACAGCGTCCCTGGTGGCTCAAATTGTAAAGAATATGCCTGCAATGCAGGAGGCCCCGGCTCAAACCCTGGGTTAGGAAGATCCCCTGGAGAAGAGAACAGCAACCCACTCCAGTATTCTGGAGAATTCCACTTCCAAACTCAGAAGTGGAGTTTTCTCCATTAATGTGGATCATCTTCAGAGCTGGATAAGGGAAAGAAATTAGAGCAGAAGATCCCGCATGTCTGAATGTCTCTATACCGTGTTTTCCAATCATATTTACTGTCATTGGAATTTGGTTGTATCTGCTCCATTCTACAGAAGAAAATTTCTGCAGCCTCTCTCATTATCTGGAATGGCTCTTCCTCTTTTTAAGGAGAAAAAAATACATGTTTAAACAACAAAGGATTTTTTCTCTGTGTTTTTTTATTTGGAAATTGGACATGCAGACAGGAGAGCCTGGTAGCCTTTTTTACTTAGTCTCCTTGCTGTTCGCAGCCTTAACCACTACAATGGATATAGATTCATGGCATGAAACAAAACCTTATTTTTGATATTGATTTTCATGGGCACAGGTATTTTTTTAAGAGAAGTATGCTTATGATGAAACCTCTAACTGCAGCTTTCAAATTCATGAGCAGATTAGAATCCAGGGGCTATAGAATTTAAGATGGAAATAGAGTGAGTGGAATTGTGCTGTTAAGTGTCTGCAAGGAATTTTGATTTCTTTTGAATGAATGAATAAATTTACATGAATTGTTGCACATAGTATTATATTACTGGGTTTACAGAAAATGTGTAAGATGTAAGTTCTTCCCACGTAGGGCTGGTGGGTCAATGGGAAAGAGGACTACGCTCAGACAAAAGAGTGTTGAGCACAATACAATGTGCTGCCTTGGGTAGCAGGGGTCTAAGTGCTGTGTCTGGAGAGTCGCCTACGACTGAGTCAGGGTAACAAGGAGGAGGGTCTTGATGAGTCTGTCTTCTCTCCCTGCAGAAGAGTGGGCAGGGTGGGCAGGGACAAAGCTCAGAAGCAGTCCACTGTGATCGTGGAAAGTAAGAAAGTCAAGTACCTACAACTTCCTCCCAGCTCAACTCTTTTGTGGTTAAGGGAGTAGGTCTGAGCTAACTGGATCACACCCAACACCAGCTTGGGGGGGGGGGGGGGATCTGTTTTACAGTCTTTGAGTCTATGCTCCTAAATGATACAGGGTGCCCTGATACAACTGAGCTACAGGTTCAGAAAACATTTAGCAAACACATCTCTTCTCCTTTGGGACTATTTCACTGGCCTTCCCTTAAAGGAGATTCTTAGTTTCGGCCTCTCCAGGTTTCCACCAAGAGGGGCTTTCTGTGCCAGGATTTCCCTTCTCAAGCTAGCAGGGCCCAGGGGAGATGAGTGGGGACTCAAACTGGCCACGAGAGGGCAGCAAATAACACCAGACTCTTCAAAGCCAGAAAACGTTTTCCGTGATCCTCTAACTTGGCTTCGCAGAAGCAAAAGAAGGCAAACCATTTTCCGCTGCCTGCTAGGTGCAAGTCACCGCCAGTGTACAAAAATCAAAAGAAGAGTACAACTTGCCTCTGATTCGGGGTGAGGTCAGTGTCACCTTATCTAGAGAAACTGAATCTCACATAGCATGCCCCAGAAGCAGTCTCTTAATCTATGGGGACAAGGCTCAGAAGCTGTGAAAAAGATGCTTCATTAGATAACAGCAAATGCCAGGGGATTCTTATCCTGTCCTCTTTAGCCCAGCCACTTCCTAGTAGAGTGCCTCGCAGACAGAAGGTGTACCCAAAAAATGTGTATGTGAGAGACACTGGGCAGTAATATCTCCATGTAAAGTGAGCTCATTACCAAAGGCAGCTCGAACCTGAAACCTATCAGTTTGGGGGGCCAGAGTACTTAAAAGCGGTAATGCCACTCTATTGAATGCTTTTCAAGCCATCTATCTATTTAAATGTTGGCCTTGGGGTCAGGCCTGCGTTAGAAACACCATGCCACACGTGGAAAGACCCAGCTGCCATAGATATGCCTTGACTTCCTCCAAGGAAACATTCGCCCGTCTGTGTTCCCCTTGGCAACAGGCTCACCGGTGATGTCAGGGTACTATGGTGTCAGGAGATCCTTCCTCTCCGACGCGGACTTTCACAACACCAAGCAGTTTGCCAACGACGCCTGCACGTCAAGCGGGGCCAAGCCCTTTGGCTGCGAGTCCTCAGCAGGGCAGGGCCACGCGGCCCTGCTGGACCCCTACTTCCCGGAGCCCTACGGGGACCACCGGCCCACGGCCCTGACCCCCAACAGCGGCACCCTGTTCTCCGCCTCGCCCCTGCCGCCGCTCCTGCCGCCGCCCTTCCCCAGCGACCCCGCACACTTCATGCTGGTGAGTACGCAGAGGCTTAGTTTAGGGGGTCACCAAGGTCGGGGTTCCCGCGGCCCTGGGCAGCCCGTGCGCCCAGCAGCCAAGGGTCTGCTCGCCCCGGGAGAGGCCAGGATCCACGCCCAGAGAGCCTTCCTCGGGGATTTGTGCCAGCCACGCTGTAGGAGGCTCTGTCTATGCAGGGGTCGGGGCGGGACGACTGAATAGGACGGGACTACAGCCATTGCGTTAACACTCCAAGGATTCCGCTGGATGTTCCCCGTTGTTCCGCCAGCGCTTGAGGACAGAGCACTGACTTAGCTCGCAGACCCAGCGAGGCCGTCCCCGGGGCAGGTGCATCAGGACGCCTCTCTCCTTCCCCTTCGTTCCTCCCGCTCCCACGGTATTTCTCCTCTTTGGAACTTCTCCTCTCGCAGTCCTTCCCGAGATGAGTCTATAAGAAAGAACACGAATCACCTTTTTATACAAAGCTGTAAAGCCTGCGACCACAAAGGAATGACTGTGGGCCTGGGGTTTTAGACCAAACAGGCCTCCGGAGAGTGGGAATCATGTGCACATGTTCATTTAATACTGGCAACAACTCAGGGTGCAGTTATTAAAGCCCCATTTTACAGATGAACCAAGTAAGGCACTCAGAGGCAGGAAGCTAGTAAGTGACCTAGCATTGAATCAGACCTAAACCTTTCCAGCCCCCAACCTATGAGGCTCCAGGTCTTTGCCTCCTGGGGGCAGGGTAGCCTTCCCAGCCCCCTGAGAAGCCCACCCTGTAATTTAGAGGCTTCTCCTTCCAGGGGTAGATGAAATGCTGCCTAAATGTTCATTTTATTATTTTCACATTTACTCTTTTAATGTTTTCTGGGGAAAGGACTCTATTTACACGCACACTTAATTCTCGAGAAAGGCACTAGAAGGTTCACTGCCCCACAGCAGAGGAGAGAGCCGCCTGTAAGGAGGCTTTGGGCAGCGCAGCGAGGCTGTGCTTCCAAAGCAGGCTGTGGAAGACACAGGCCAGCAGCCCCTGTGTCGGGAAGGAAATGTGTCCCCGTCAGACCATCACCTAGGGACTAACCCCACTGACCTTTCCGTCCTCCTTAGAGGGACTCGTGGGAGCAGACGGTGCCCGAAGGCCTCAGCCAGCCAGACCCTGTGCCAGCCGATGCCCTGCAGAGCTTGGCGCCCAACACCGGCTGCCTCTCCCAGCTGGAGTCGGGCGGTGTCGCCCAGCACAGGAGCGCCGGCTGCGGCGGGCCCCTCACCGGGGTTCAGTCCTACTCACTGCATGCGCTGGAGGATCTGTACCACACGCAGGGGTACCCCACCCCGGCCCCCTACCCTTTCACCTCTTTCATGACGATGTCCAATGACCCACCGCCCAAGGTGGGGCCCTTCTCCCCAGATGAGGGGGCAGACACCTCTGCCCTCCAGGACGCTTCTCCGTGGACCAAAGAAGACGGGAGCCTGGCGTGGGGGCCATACGAGTGCCGCAGGGCTTACTGAGGGCACCAGAGGACTTCTGTGCTTGAAGTCAGTTCTCTGTATTCACAGACTGTTGTGGTGTGGCCGTTCTTTCAGAAGTGGGTTTTCAGGACAAGCCGTTGTGCCACCCTTTGTTAATAGATGACGGCATTTCTTTGTGATCCACCCACCATAACCCCACTGAAACACACCACAATGTGAATTCCGTGTGTCAGGGACCATATTCTAGATAGACAGCCTGACAGTGAGGTTTTGGGGGAAATTTAATAACCCGCACAGTGAGGTTTTGGGGGGAATTTAATAACCCACTGTGTTCTGAATCTTCTGTTATCTTTGAAGTATCATTTTAGCACTGATAGTTTTCCTTAAATTACATTAAAAACTTTATGCAGCTCATAAAACATACTGATTTTCCTGTCTAATTTTTCTTAGTTATGTACTGTGTATGTTCCTCAATAAAAGATAATGCATAGGGTGTCAAATAGATTAGGGCACATAAAACAAAATGCACTTTATACCATGTGACTTTATAAAGTGTGAAGTATTATATACATTTCTCTCCTTACAGTGACTTGCAAATAACAAATAATAACTTGCAAGTAACACATGTGATGCCATTAAAAAAATGCTTTATTGTCATTAAAGTAGGATGAAGCCAGGACACTATCTATGACTTCATAACTATATGGTTTTGACTCTGCACTAAAGCCCAGGATGTCCAAAAATTAGGCTAATCCAAAAAAACAATAAAGGCCAAAAACTTTCTTTGACCAATGTCCTCTTTGATCAGTTAAGCTAGATATGGTTTCTCTGATGGAATACACCAACAGTCATCAGAGCAGATTAGTGAAATGGACATTCTTATAATCAAATAAGAATGCATGCATTATAAGGAAAACGCAGACAGAAGGCCTGGACTGTTGGCAAGAAAAAACAGGCTGCAGATCGCCAGAAGCAAAGGGCCTCTGAAGAAGGACATACCGTCAGATGTACACACAGCTCCTGTTTGAAGAGAGACCTTGTTGGTGGCTCACTGGTCAGAAATATATAGGTCTTGCTTTGTATAAATGAAGAAACTGACATTTGAAGCATCAGTCTGTCTCATATAAGTCTGATTGGTTTGGATTCCTTTGCCAGTTAAGCTCTCACAGTAATTCCCATCATGTACATGCCTGTCTGCAGGCCAAGCCCATCATAAACACCCCGCACACACTTTAACTTCGCATAGCCTGTGTCAAGCTCCACAGGTTACACCCAGAATCTTCCTTTCGTCTTCTCGCCACCTTCCTTTCTTTACTCCCTTCACCACATTTTTCTAACCCTTCAGGTTTCTCCTAATCCAATGCTTTTTCCCTCCATCTCCTGGGGGCCCAAGGCCACTCAAAACAGTTTCCATCGCATCCTCTGTGACAGGGTCCCACACTCTGTTTAGAAGTCTAGAAAGTAAAAAACGGATATTAATTCACACTTAGAAGTGAATAATTGATGTTCCTCCTTCTCTGGGTGTTCAAGAGTATATTCTGGTTCAGCAAACACACTCCTGATTTGTGGCATCCCCACAGAAATGCTTGAATAGGAGCCTCTTTTACTCACACCCTTCATCCCACTCCTGGGAGAGCATCCTCAGAGGAACAGACATGGATGGAAGGAGCACCTAGCTGCTGGACCATACTCTCCCAGGTCACCGGCCTACTCCTTCCTCCCACACTCCTTCCCACAGCCTAATCTTTACTTTGCTCAGTATTCACTCTGAGCTACCATGGAAGAGGGTAACTTCTACAGTGGGAGAGGGAGCTGCCCTTCTGAAGTCTGATGAAACTGGAGAACTTAGTCCTGATTGCCAGTATCTTTGGCAGAGCCATCTGTCATCCAGCCTCACTCAAACCTGGACGACAAGCCCCATGTCAGAAGATCTGGCCGTCCCTGGAGGTGCAGGAGTCTTCACAAGGAAGGGTCTTAAAGTCACTTTTCTAGATTGACTGTATAAAATTGATAATCATTATAGTCATCTACCGCGTCTATGTGTTACTAAGTAGCACACAACACAGTAATTAAAAATGTATGTGTAAATCATAAGTATATGTTCCTGTAACTTTAATTTTGATTTGATTATAACACTAAATATTAGGCATGCTTATTTCTCTTGGTTTGCTGCTTTCTGCTCACCTGTCATGTTCTTCTTCTCACAACCTGGCTCTCAGATAAGTAGAGCTCAGTGACCAGTGGTGTCTACATCCTTCTTAGAGCACCCAAGTCCTTTCATAGTGTTGGGGAAATTTAATTAATAAAAAAGGAGACACACACCAGCCCATATGCTGTTTAGTACCCTTTCCAGTTCTCCAGTCTAAAATGTCAAGGGGAGTGGGGAATGGTAGCAATAATTCCAAACAGTAAATAATTTTTAAGAATTCTCTTTAGCTTGCCAGTGTATTGCTATACTGTATGTATTTTAATTCTGTTTTATTGCTCTGGGAATTTACAATACTTGTTAAAAAGTGAGACCAAGATATAAACTTATGTCAGGGAAGTTAATTCTGTTTCCCTATTCCATTTCCCATTCAAGTACTCTCTGTTTCCTAGAGCATGCCAGAGACTTAACTGTACCTTTTTGTAATAATGCATGATGTCAAAAAAAAAAAAATACACCTTCTCCTTTCCCTCTCCTTATTAAACCTGCTCTTCTCAGATTCACAGCTTTCCTGGGGAAGTGAGAGAAAATTTAAAAGCTCAGGTTCAAAACACCATCCCTTTTAGGTCCCTTAAGATGTGAAATAAGCAGAGATTAGTGGGAGAGGGATTGACATATACACCTTACTATGTATAAAATAACTAATAGGAATTTGCTGTATAACACAGGAAACTACTCCATACTCTATAATGACCTGTTGGGAAAATAATCTAAAAAAGAGTGCATATGTGTGTGTATAACTGACTCACTCTGCTGTATGCCTGAATCTAACACAACAATGTAAGTGAATTATACGCCAATAGCAAGTTTAAAATAAACAAAGTAAGCAAGCAGAGATGGTGATATCAAGCTCAAGCTAAGAAATCTCCCTAGAGGATAATGCCGCAAAAAATGGAAAGCAAAATTTGCCCATGCGAAAACTAAAATACAGGCAATTGCCTGTAAATCACTAAATACAGGTATTATAGTATGTAGTTGAAAGTGTTTGCATTTCTCTTATAATATTATACAAACCCCAAAGAATGAGAGAAGAAAACCATAGCTTTACCTCATTTATTTAATAACTGCTTGTAAATGAGCATTATGACTCGCTACAGCTCAGTTACTATTTAATGCAATATGATGGCACGATAGTGGACAGGGGGCAGATTTCAGTGCTAGAGTACTGTACAGAGAGTTCCACAAAGGGAAAAGAATTACTAACCTCAATAGTAAAATAAATATTTGCATGTATATATGTCTTTGTGTGTGTGTCTGTGTGTATGTCTGAGTGTATGTATATATGTGTGTATGTGTGCATATATATGTGTGTCTGTGTGTCTATGTGTGTGTCTGTGTGTATATACATATATGTGTGTATATATGTGTGTGTGTGTCTCTGTGTGTGTATGTATATATATGTGTGTGTGTGTGTATGTGTGTCTGTGTGTGTGTATATATATGTGTGTGTGTGTCTGTGTATATATGTGTGTGTGTGTGTGTGTGTGTATATATATATGTGTGTGTCTGTGTGTCTGTGTGTATATGCATATGTGTGTATATGTGTGTCTGTGTGTGTGTTTGTGTGTGTGTCTGTATGTATGTGTGTGTCTGTGTGTGTGTGTGTGTCTATCTGTGTCTGTGTGTGTGTGTCTGTATGTCTGTGTGTGTCTATCTGTGTCTGTGTGTGTGTGTCTGTATGTCTGTGTGTGTGTGTGTGTGTGTCTGTGTATGTGTCTGTGTGTCTGTATGTGTGTGTGTGTCTGTGTGTGTCTTTATGTCTGTGTGTGTGTGTGTGTGTGTGTGTATAAAGGTATTAGTAGTATCTCTGTGATCCATTTTCACTATGTAAATCTAAATAATACATTCATAAAAATAAAACATCAGCTATATTTAAAGAATTGAAATAACAATTGGTGTCCAAGGTTTAAGTCACATTACATTACAATCATTCTACAAAAAAAAGCACTAAAATCATACCCTTTTAGAAATGTTCACTCACTCAGCATTTTATTGGGCTCCTCCGAGCCTCCCTGGCTGCATGTGGGCTCTCCCTAGGTGCAGCAAGTGGGGCTACTCTGGTTGCATTGCACGGGCTTCCCACTGCCACGGCTTCTCTAGCTGCGGAGCCTGGCTCCAGGCATGCGGGCGCAGTAGTTGTGGCACCCTGGCTTAGCTGCCCATCAGCATGTGGGATCTTCGTTCCCTGGCCAGGGATGAAACACATGTCCCTTGCATGGCAAAGCGAATTCTTAACCATTGGACTGCCAGGGAAGGCCCTATGCTCATTCTTTATATTCTGTCATTAAGTTCTTTATCAGGTAGCCCTTCTGTTGAAAACAATATTTCACTGTTCATCTTATATACCATACTTGATAAATGCTGACTCTTGAGGGGTTAAGTGCAAAATTGTACCTCTGGCTAAAGAGGCTTTTCTAACTAGACTCATCAAGGAAAAGACTCCTGGTTGTTTCAATTCTATGTCCTCAGAAGGTGGCTTAGTGTCCAGCAGGTTGTAGGTGTTCCGTTAGTCTTTGTTAAATTGAGCAAAAATGATACCGCAAAGATGAATAACAACTTAGATCCCAACACCATGGATGACAGTTCTGATGTATAAGAAAAATCCTCACTAGGTTTAGTGTTTGACTTAGTCATACTCTTTGCAAACTCAGGCAGTACTGGATATTAAGTTTTACTGGTAATATATTTAAGACGATTGATTTTGTATTTTTAAATGTCTTTAACAAGGAAAATCGCTGAACATTTGAAGTAGCACAGAAAATGTTTTATGAATTCATTTAGGATCTATGTAGACTATAAATATTACTAAGAATTCTTAGAAATAGAAGTTACTCAATATTCGGTATTATATCTGATGTGAT